TATTGTGCAGTGTGCCTTTGAGCTGAATGCATATAAGGCATCACTTGTGGAAAGCACCATCTGCCCTCTCTTTCACCTCTAGTGCATTTCATGCCATTAGGCACGTTGCGGCCCTTTCTCCCCTCCCGCCCACCCAGCCGGCTCCTCCAATAATGATTTGGCGCTCCCGCCCCTCCAGTGCATTGGTCGTGACATGACCCGCCATCTCAGGAACTGACTCCAGAGCTCCCATCTGTCAAAGCAGTCAGGTTACTAGCAGCACGGGATAAGTGCCTGGCAATCCATCTGCCTCCATCCTCGTACTGGAGCACAAGGTATCCCTATTTGCTGCGGCGCAAGTCATGGGAAAAGAAAAGGCTAGGCACTAGCAAAGCAGGTGAGCACTACACTTCCACTCTGTGCCTTCAGTTTGTAGGACACCACACCCTCTGAAGGCAGCAGGTCAGATCCTGATAACCCAAGACGGGGGCAGTTTTGTGTGCTGACCATCTATAGTAAGGATGGGCATCTCGTGTGGCCTTCAGCCTAATTTCGTACAGATGTGGGAGGCTGGATGGGGTAGGGGTGAGCCAAAATGGGTGAAATGATGAAAGGAGGAGAGGAGAAACGCATCTGGCAAGGACAATCTGCCTCTTTCCCAGCAGCCTGCTGAGTAAGGAGGAAGAAGGAGTAGAGGTGTCAGAAAGAGAGAGAAAGAAGAAGTGGGGGTTGCATAAAGAAAGAGAAGGAGAAGCCCCCATTTACCACCCTGCTTATTGCCAACATGCAGCCCCTGACTGATTATCTCCCAAGGGAATGGAATCCTCAACTATGACTTATAGCTAAGGATCCCTTTCCAAGTCTAAAGGTATATAATGAAGGCACCAGCCAAACCTCCCTGGGGGAGAGCATTCCACAAATGGGGAACCACTGCAGAAAAGGTCTGTTCTCGTGCTGCCACTCTCCAGACCTCTTGTGGAGGAGGCGCACAAAGAAGTAAGCAGTTTCATAACTTGGGGGCTGCTCCAGAGAATGCCCTCTTCTGGACCACCCCTGCCACCACCCTGAGCTTTTGAGGGTGACAGAGCCACTAAAAGGGCCCCCACTGCCAAATTTAGCACCCAAGAGGCTGTGTAGGGAGGGAGACAGCCTCTCAGATATTTGGAAACAGGGGGAGAAATGAGAGGTTGGGGTTTTGTTATGAACCCCTCATAATTCAAGCACTGAGCATATCTGGCTGAATCAACTTCTCTCCTTCCATTTCTTCCCACCAGGGAGTCCTTTCCCGCAAAGCTCCTGAATGGACCCATAATCCTGTTAACAGCACACGTGCTGCCCATTCTTTTCCTGAGAGGCCCCAAGGGGGATTTGCATCCTGCGCCCTAGTGGGACTAATTCCATTGCAGCCCAGTAACGCCACTTGCTATAATGATCCATCCCCCTCTGGAGCTGCTGAACTGGGCTCGCAAGAAGTTTTCATGCAAATGCAGAAGGAGGCAGATCCCAGCAATCAGCCTCCCAAATCCTAGGAAAAGCAGTCACTCAATTTTGCCCGGCCACGGACATCCGTGCCGGTTCCCCACCAACACCATGAAAGATATCCACACCAAAGATTTAGGCAGTTGGTTAACATTTAAAAATGTGAAATGCCATGGCTCAGACCTATCCCATGAAACTATCCCGTTAAAAAAGAAAACAAAAATTTTAAAAGGATCTTGCAGTCGCTACAGAGGGCAAGCAGTGCACAGCATGTGCAGTGTTTGCTCCTTTAAAGGGGTGGGGAGCAAGATGAGTGTTGCATCCAAGAACATGTATCATACCCTCCAACATATTGAGTCTCAAAAACCAGGACACGCAACGTCTTGTCTGTGCTTTCACACGGGTCATGTGACCCGTGTGAGATCACAGCGCCCAAAATCATGCATTTTGGGGCACTGTGCAAGATCACGGCTCTGTGTTTTTTCAGGGGGGAACACTTTTGGGGGCGAGATCTCAGTGCAAAATCATGCAAGATCTCAGCCCTCAAAATGGCCACCATACTCTTGTGCCAGAAAACTGTGTGTCCCTTTTTTCCAGAATACTTGCGGGGTATGGAATATGTGGAATACCAAAACAATATCCTGCAACAGTAAAGCTTTTCTTGAGCAAAGATGTCTGGGCACAGCACAACAAAATGCACATTTATTGCACAGAAACCATCTAGAATTTCCCTTGCAGAAGGGATGTCAACCCAGTTGTCTATCAAGATCTAAAATAACTGAATAGGTAGATGAAAGAGACTGGAGTGCACTACACACCAAAATTTTGCTAAACATTTTGGGGAGTAAACTAGGAAAATGGACATTGATTATCCTGCTACATTGCAAATTCATGTTCTCTGTAACTTTGGTTCTTCATCCTCTTTTGCTCTGTATCTTGCTATCAGTCTTGAGATACAAAGCATTCTTTGTCAACATAAAAAGGAATTTTTGATGGAGCCTTCACTGTAACTGCTGTTTCATTCAGCTATAAGGATCAAAATTGATATAAATAATCCTTCATCAACCAATCTAACATGTCACTATAACGCCAGGATATTTACAGCACGATCCTATGTCTGTCTACTCAGAGTTAAGAACCACTAAGTTCAACAGACCTCACTTCCAGGTAAGGTGTATAGTTGCTTTTGCCAGTACTTGGTTGGCAAATTGGTACGAACCAGCCCTGGCTGTCATGCATAAAATGAAAATGAGGAGGAAGATCCAACCTTACACTGGTGTGACTGACAACAGTATGGTGTCCTGGAATATTTTATCGACAAAAATACTGAACTGTGAGTTTGAAAGAGCCGCTTAGTAATAATTGAGCCCAATTCTAAGGAGAGAATGAATTTAGGGGAATTCTTTTCTTAAAATTAAATCCTTTCACTGATCCACATCCTCAGCTCCTTAATACATTGCTTCTCCGCTTAACAATGCAAGACTAGAACTTGAGGCTATTCCTGGAAGCACTTAATATTATTCAATCACAGGCAATGACTTTCACCAATATATTTCGCTTCTGAAATGGCAATCATGATAATGATGAACCACAAACCTTACACTAATATTTTAATGCTGCTAGAGTGGTCTTCGCTTTAACTGAGATTGATATATGTGACTTTCACCACCACTGCATCATCATCGCTGCATCTGACTTTCACCATCATAGCAATCACAGGTGCTGCTGTTAAATATTATGCAATATTTCAGCTCCATATTAAGCTGTGTCATAACTTTGATGCTGGATATCCTATAGGCTGGGTGCTTCCTGTTCCCTCCAAATGTTACAGCAAACTTGAAAACACCTTACATTGACCCATGTGATAAGAATATTACCGTATTTTTCGCTCTATAAGACGCACCAGACCACAAGGCGCTCCTCAGAAGCCAGAACAGCAAGAGGGATCACTGTGCAGTGAAAGCAGCAATCCCTCTTGCTGTTCTGGCTTCTGGGACAGCTGCACAGCCTGAATTCGCTCCATAAGATGCACACACATTTCCCCTTACTTTTTAGGAGGGAAAAAGTGAGTCTTATAGAGCAAAAAATACAGTATATCTTTAATATGTAAGCCTTCACTTAACAGGACAATGGAAGTACTCCCTACAGTACAAAGCTATACATTTTTATTTAGAAGTAAATCCTGTTGTGTTCAGCGGAACTTGCCCACCACATCTGTTTAGGGTTGTAGTCATAATTAAACCCCACAACCTCACAGTAGTGTCCATTCATTGTCCCTGTTTGTGCTTTGAGGAAAAGGTTCTATTAATTACCAGCACAGGGTTTTTGACGCAGCTGATTGTTACACTGCTCTCTAAATAAGGAAGTTTTATGGCTGGACCGCCATCCCTGACCATTGGCCATACTAGCTGGGACTGTTGGGAGTTGGAGTTCAGCAACATCTGAAGGGTCACAGATACCCTCCCCCTGCATTAAATGGGATGTCCCAAGATGGGACAGCAACCCATGAGAACATCTAGGAGGATGTGAGAGAAGAACCATATTGTCCATATACATAAGAACGACCACTAACCGCCTACCAAATTAGGATAAAATTAAGCAATCCTTTCGTTAATAACATTACATAAAACAGATTGTATATGTAAGAAACCAATAATCATCTCCATCACATTATCCTGGTCAACACAGAGGAGATATGTATTCCCCATGGTTTGAAGTGAACTATAGCAGTATTATCCTCAGACAAGAATATATTCAAAGCCTGATTCAAACCATATACCAGTCTGAATGCAGACATAGGGTTACCCTCATTCATACTAAGTATATGAATGAATTGGTCTACCCATTGCATTTGAGATGTTTGTGGTTTTACATTGTGATCATAGTAACTTTTCCCCACAGACATCACCATCGCAATGTTGGGTGGGGGATTCTTTAGGTTTACAGGCATCTCAAACTCACTCGATAGACATTTTGAACTGGACATAATACCAGTGCTGTGTCCTCCATAATCCTTATAATCTGCCCTGAGTCATCCATCTTAAGGTGAAACTACAGATGTCATGCAGTTGACATTCACAAGTCAAAATTTTAAAAAGCAGCTGTGGGGAGACTTCAGTCTTGTGTGGAAGCCTTGGAAGGGGGAAGAAATGCTTGTGCTGATGGAACCATCTCCTTAACACTGTGTTGAATTCTTCCCTTAAAGAAGAATGGTTTGCTCATTCAGAGGACATGATGAATACTCTTCTCAAGATAAGCAAAGAGAAACAGACCAAAACTTTTGGTGGTTTCCCCCCCAAATCCAAAACCTTGGATTTAAGTCTAGAAAGCATGGGATTTCCATTGTGTTTATTCCCCACCCTGCAAATCAACTGATATGTGGTTGTTCAACAAGGTCTACATAGGTGGCTGCCAACACCTACAGCCTGATACATAAAAGCAGACCCACCTCCCTCTGCATCCAACCGTATGTCATGCACTCTGATCCACTGGCTGCCTTTCCTTCCTCATAAGGAAGGGATCTCTCCAGTTTTTCCACTTACCCATGCTTCTCAATCCATGTTCAGGCCCTTCAGTAAGGTTGGGCTGCTGCTCTTCACATGCAGACTCCTCTTTAGATGAGCTGCTCCTCTCTTTCTCACCCTGTCGCCTAGTAGGCAGAGGAAGCGCATCAAGTCAGTCACTCTACATACTCACTTGTATGTTCGGCTACATGAGCAAATTGCATGGACAGTTCCTTATAGTTCAATCCATTGTTCAGTACCTCATTCACAAAGAAACAGCTGCCATAACAGCTCCTACACATCCCATCTAGGCAGTTGGGTGAGGCCAGCCTTCACCAATGTCTGGGTGCAAGACTACTTGGTAAACATGGGTGCAGTAATTGTCCAAGAAGCTTGACTTTGGACAGCTGGGACATTCAGACTGGGCTGGTCCATCTCAGGAGTGAAGCGTAGCTGGAAGTGAACATGTGATTCACCCACAGTGAACAACATGTTGGTGGGAAACCAGTGCTAAATAATTTGTCAATGATCATGCTTAGGATGAACTACCGTATTTTTCGCTCTATAACACGCACCTGACCATAACACGCACATCGTTTTTAGAGGAGGAAAACAAGGGAAAAAACATTCTGAATGAAACAGTGGATGTATCATTTTTGTGCTTCATGCTGTGGCCACAGACATGTGATCTGATGGTGAATTTGGGGTGACCCAATGCAAAGATCCTGAGAATCCCTGTGGATCCATGCTTTGTAACCACGTTTTTGCACCATTGCAGCCCCAGGCAACAGTGGGTGCGTGCTTTTTTTGGTGCAGGCTGTAGCCATGGACATGCTATGTGATCTGATGGTGGATTTGGGGTGACCCAATGCAAAGATCTTGAGGATCCATGTGGATCCATGCTTTTTAACCACGTGTTTGCACCATTGCAGCCCCAGGCAACAGTGGGTGCGTGATTTTTTTGGTGCAGGCTGTAGCCATGGACATGCTATGTGATCTGATGGTGAATTTGGGGTGACCCAATGCAAAGATCCTGAGGATCCATGTGGATCCATGCTTTTTAACCACGTTTTTGCACCATTGCAGCCCCAGGCAACAGTGGGTGCGTGCTTTTTTTGGTGCAGGCTGTAGCCATGGACATGCTATGTGATCTGATGGTGAATTTGGGGTGACCCAATGCAAAGATCCTGAGGATCCATGTGGATCCATGCTTTTTAACCACGTTTTTGCACCATTGCAGCCCCAGGCAACAGTGGGTGCGTGATTTTTTTGGTGCAGGCTGTAGCCATGGACATGCTATGTGATCTGATGGTGAATTTGGGGTGACCCAATGCAAAGATCCTGAGGATCCATGTTGATCTATGCTCAGTGGCGTAGCGTGGGGGGTGCCAGGGGTGCCGGCCGCACCGGGCGCAACATTTTGGGGGGCGCGTTTGGCCGGCCCCCCTCGAGGAAGCGGGAACCTCTCCAAGGCACAGCGTGCCGTCGGTAGAGGAAAAAAGCCGCGCAGCAGCAGCAAAGTCGGGAGGAGGAGGAGGTGGAGCGAGCCTGCTAATTCCTTGCTGGGAATTAAGCGGCTCAAGACTCTCTCCACTGGCCGCCTGGGTAGTGAGCCGAGCCGAGCAGGGAGTCTGGCGAGGGGGCGGGAAGAGACTTTTCCCCCTTTTTTCCACCTCGCCTGGTCAAAAAGGAGAGCGGAGTCTCCTCAGGGCGCCCTCAGGCAGGGCAGGGAAAGGCAAGCAGAGCGAGGAGGAGAGGGGGGGGAGCAGCCAGGAAACGCCACGGTGTGGAGGAGGAATCAATTTAGGAGAGAAAGCGAAAAGCCTTGGAGAAAGGGAAAAAAGGAAAGAAAAGAGGCAGCTCCAGGAGAGCGCGGGGGAAAGAGAAGCCTCGCTGCTGCTGCTTGGGAGAGTAAATTACTGTACTTGCCTTGCCCCGGGTTAGGGGGCGCAAATTACTTGCCTTGCCCCGGGTTAGGGGGCGCAAATTACTTGCCTTGCCCCGGGTGCTGATAACCCACGCTACGCCGCTGTCTATGCTTTGTAACCACATTTTAAGTGGGGAGCGAAGGAAAAACAAAGAAGGGACATGAGAGGGGTGTGTAGAGAAGCAGCTGGCTAAGAATGCTGGAGAGGGATTTAACGGGTGGGAGGCAAAAGTTCCCCCCCAAGCCAGCCATCTCTCTCTCTCTCTCTCTCTCTCTCTCTCTCTCTCTCCCTCTCCCTCCCCCCCTCTCCCTCTCCCTCCCCCACTCTCTCTCCCTCTCCCCCAGCAGTACCGGAGCACAGAGACGACACTTTCCCCTCTGCTTGCCTGGAGGGGAGGGGCTTTCCCTGCTCTTTGTTCCGTTTGAGCAATCACAGCAACGAAACAGAGGAGGGTGGGCAGTAAGACCCTGAGGCAGAATACAGGAAAGCTGCCACTTCCTCTTTTCAGGTTTCCCTTCTCCGTGACTCGCGATTTGACTTTTGCTTGATTTTTTGGCTCCAGGGACCACACATTCGCTCCATAACACGCACAGACATTTCCCCTTCCTTTTTAGGAGAAAAAATCTGCGTGTTATAGAGGGAAAAATACGGTAAGCAAAGCAGCTCTATTTCATGTCAGCCCACAACACAAATGAACATGAGACAATTTAGTTTTACACTTCTCATGAAGTGTTGCTGTGATGGCAATCCTGATCTGTACAACAGCAACCACAACTGCATGTGATTGTCCGAGGAACAATAGCATTCTCATCCCTCAATCCCTACCTGAGTTATTCCACAAATTGTCTATGTACATTATAATCCTCACCTTGATCTAGCTGCCACTCTGCAATTATTCTCCTGAGTCCTGTCCTTCCATATTAGTACACCCAGAGCATCATCAGTACAGGACTGTTGAGTGGCTTCTCCAGGAGGCACCAACCTCCTTGACCTAAGATAGCTTTCTCCAAGCTGGTGATCTCCTGATGTTATGGACCACAACTCCTATCACCTTTGACCATTGGACATGCTATCTGAGAGTGATGGGACCTGTAGTCCAAAACATCTGGTGGACACCAGGTGGTTCAACCCACATGATTCAACTGGCATACTTAAGATTTTAGCTGAATGAAGCTGTACTAAGCTTGGCATGTGGTGAAGCAGTCATACAACTGTTGCACTATGAACCTTGAGCTAAAAAACTCAATACACTTTTACTGTGCCTCATCAAAGTCAACACGAGATGGTTGAGCAGTAATAAGATAAATGTTGGGTGACTTGGGTGCACAGGGAAGCAATCACACAAACATTTTACTACATTCAAATCTCTTTGGTCTTACACATTTGGCCCTATATCTATCTACTTAGCTCTAGTCTCAAAAAGGGAGCTCGGTCTCTTGTTACTAAACTTTTTTGGCCACCTTTGGCTTGTACATCCTGCATATCTGATGAAATGCTAACCTTTATCTTAACAATCAGGATGTGAAAGGAGATTGCTTTCTCCTATGACACCTTCATTAGCACTGTGGTAGAAAGGAAGCAAGCCAGGACCTCCACCATCCTTTAAGCTGGTGCTGTAGACATGCAACTCCAGGAACATTTGCCTATAATTTTACAGACTGATACTTACCGATAATGGAACGGGGCTACCGTGGCCATGATGGGATGGTTGTGTTGAGGCACAGAGGAAAAACTGATAGGCCCAGTGTGCAGCACAGGGCCCTTATTGAGGTTGCTTGTGTCCAGTGAGATCACCTGAGGTTTTTCCTCTGGCTTAGACGTTCCACTTCCTTTCCCATTGGCTTCTGAGGCCCACTGACCTTTTACAGGACAACTCTGAGGCCTCTTTGTGGTGGATCCCTCTGAAGACCTGGACAACAAAGTCTCACTATACAAGCTGAGATAGGATGGACTCTTTCCTGGGAGGTGAGAGGTTTTTGCAGGTTCAGGAATTGTACTGGGCTTCCCAAGACCCTTCTTGGCACCGCGACTGCTACTGTCTTCCCCCTGTTTTGTGGTGTCCTTGCTTCTCTCGGTTGCTTGAACAGCAGCTTTCTTAGTTGCCCCAATAGTCCTGGAGCTGGACCTCTGCATCCCCCGGGGACTGCTGCAGCCAGACACCATGCTCAGGCTGAGGCTGGAATCTATCCCATCTGACCCACCATGGCTCTCAGACGCTTCCGATTTCTCCTGCCCAGGGCTTGCAGCTGCTGGAGTCTTTGGGACCAGCTTTTGCTTGGATCCTTTTGGCACTCCACTGCTCGAGCTAACCAGTCCCTTCCCTGTCCTGGGTGATGATGCCCTCTGCGAGGGAACAGCTCCCACACTGTTCTGCCTTGGGGGCAGTTTGGGCGATGCTGCCAGGGTGTGTATCTTGCTGTGGGATGCAGCTCTGGGAACAGGTATAGAGGAGGCATAATGGCTTCGTCCGGCTGCGTTCACATTGGCTGTTCCATTCATCATCAGCAAGGCCTGGTTGAAGGAGGATCAATCTGAGGGAGAGAAAAGCAGAGGAAGTTAAGCAGAGGCTACAGCTTCCACAGCCAAGGCTCTCTCTCTATTCCAGTACTCTATTCCCTGAGTCTTGCTTTACAGGACTAAGCATCAGATTTGCCAAGTGAAAGCCTCTCCCCAGCTCCCTTTTCACTGAGCATTAATTCAACTTGAAACCATTGTTTTGATGTACTAAAATTAGCATGTTGGCACTCTTTGGTGCTTTCATTTTCTTCTTTAAGCTTAAACAATGTAAGGGAAATGTGTGCTGTCGAGCTGCGTCGTGTCTTAAAACATCTACACATATTTCAGTAAGGAAGATTTCCAAGTAAAGATTTGAATTTGGTTGAATTTAAACTGCATTAAAGGGGCTTTATTGATTCCCAACTCCCCTTTAGTTGGCGAGGTGTATTATTTCACTTCAAAATGTGCTAAGCTGGCTTTGTTGCAATTGGGAGCCCTCCTGCTCTTTCTGTTGAATGGGGACCTTGGACATCTGCCCTAAAGTTCTCCTTTGAGAGCATCACTGCCAGAAAACCTGCATCAGTGGACAACATAATGTGGTTGTTTTTTTTTCAGTGTCCTCCTCTACATGGACACCCAGTGTTGTTATCTTCCATTTATTCCTCTGATGTTGTAAATAACCGGGGGAAATCAGAAGTAATTTCAAGTAATGGAGTAATGAAATGAACTATTTCTTAACCTTGCTGGTTGCAGTACTACCAGCAGATCTGGCTGAAACTCAGGACAGATGTGATGCAGAGACCCGTCCTGGCTCTAGGAACTCTTTTGCATTACAAGCCTCTGGCTGAAGCTGGGAACCCTGCCAACCACAGCTGGCTCAAAATACTATTTCACTCCACTGGAAATCCTGCTGCCGGGAGCACCCGGCAGACGCTCTGATAGACACTGTGGAGCTTAGCCTGGTGTGGAGGGGTGGGGGTTGTGCAAGCAATGTGCTCTTTTATCCCAGGCCAGTGCTTTGAGCCCCTATAATACAGAGAACTCAGCCTCTGCAGCTTTAATACTGTTATGGAGACACTGCAATGCTTTTGCAAGCAGGGCTGAAAACATGCATCCATTGATAAGCTTGGCTTGATAGGCACATTTTGTTTATCCTCGTTTACAGATCAAGTGGCATGGTTTTGAAAAATGGCATCAATGCCCCCAAATTCAAAACTGTAATCAAGATATGTAGGGAAAGTGCCTTAAAATGAGCTGCAGCATTGGCCCATCTTGGAGTGAATCTCTGCATAACATCGTCTCACTTATATGTTGTCAGACCACCAGCCTTTCTTTACCACTAGGTGACTCCTGGGTCCCAGTAAATTTGCATCAAGTGCGATACAGCTGAACCAGCAGGTAACATCCTTGTCAGTCTAGCATCTTCAGAATGATGCAGAGCATGAATCCAAGTAATTCTAAGCTCGGGTCACACTGACTGCTCCTCAATGGTGGGATCATATGCTGTTTCTGTAAACAGGAACCATGCTGGCAGGGCCAACGGCAGAGGCCCTTTTGACTTGCTAACTGCATGGCTGGGAGGGATTGCAAATCCTCAAGCAGCTGCCAAATGGCCACTGCTGTTGATACTTCTGCTTTTTACGCTTTACCCAGTATGCCAGTGAGTACCAAGTGGCAGATTACCCATAATGTCTGGAGTGAGGCTACTGCACTCCAGGGGATGTGGGATATTACAGTGGTAAAAACCTACCACTTCTCAGAGAAGCACCACTATCACTTTTGCTATTTCCTTTCTCCTCCTCCACCCCCCACTTCTGCTTGTAATTCTCCCAATCACCCCTACTCCTAACAACAATATACAGCAGAGAAAGTGCTGCAATGCCTGCTATCTGCCACAACAGAGCCACCAACATGGAGGGGGCGGTGCGGGGCGGTGCTGCTGCAAAAAACAGCAACAACCTGCACATAACTTGACATGTCCTCTAGCTGGTTCTGATTTGCTGCTACTCAGAAGGAGCCTCACATCCATATAAAGAATAACTGCAAATATCATTATGATTTATTTTGTGTCTATATTGCTCTTTATTTTAAAAATAAAATGGCTTTTTACATAACAAAAATTAAAACATAACATCTAAACAACATAAGCAATGTAGCAATATAAACATATACATTAAAACCTAAGTAAACCAGTCGTGTAGTCCTCCTCCCCAGAGAATTTTTTTTAAGTTGCATGATCTTGATTGAATATTGATGCTGCTATCAAAACTGAGTGAGGGCTAATTCCATTAGGGAAGGATTAGAGGGGAAAATAACTGAGTACTGGGAATGAAATATTGGACACTGAAAAAGACAAACAACCAGCCCCAGCCCCTCCCTGGATGTAAGATTCCAGTTACAGGAAGGAATCTTACAGGCTAAAGGAAGGAAATATAATGTCAATCAGAGCAGCACCAACACAATTGTTTGCAACATATTCTGGGAACAGAGATGAGGACGGGATGTGAAAGTGAAGTGTCTTTATAGGTGGCAAATGTAACAAAGAAGATTCTGGATTTTACAGGATACAAAATACACCAAACACAAAAAGTTCATTGTTGGGCGGGTGAGGAACACTCCTCAAACAATGTTTTAAGGAAAGTGCTCTTTGTCCAAAATTCTAAGACAAACTGTGATACATATTTTGTGCTTTTTGTGGGTCTCTGTTTCCAATCTGTAAAATGGGAGTAACTTTATATCATTAAGTGTAAGAGGCAAATAAGGTGCACCAAGGAGCTCGCAATCTAAAGTTAACCAATAACCTCTTTCACCAACATTGATAAATTCCACAGAAGATTTTGAGCTGGAGTGAGAGTCATTTAATAATCCCATTATCAAACGCAAAGTGGTGGATAACACATCATAGAAAGCTGTCACTTTCCAGAGAGATGTGCACCATCTGGTTCCAGGGGATGGTCTGTCCAAAGGTACATGGGGAGATCCATTTGCTGAGGCTAAACAGATCTAGGTCTGGCTAGCGCATGGACGAGTGGATGTCTGGGAACCACAAGCACACCACCTTTGTTTCCATGACAAAAGAAAAGTGGGATATAAATTTATGGGTGTAGGCAGGTGTGGGGATTATTTATTTTCCAGGTTATAAAACTAGCATGCTGTCTCTGTTTCTAATGTCCCTTTTACCCTGCATTATCTGTTGCGATGTGGAACTGTGCCGTTTTCCCAGAAATGCCATCATTTACACCAGTGGGCAGGGTGTGACACAACAGTGCATAACATTGGATAAGTTGCTACCCTTTATGCTCCTGCATTCTCCCCTTCCATCATGATTCACCCATGAAAATGGAGGGGAAGTATATGCCAGGACACAGCCGCAATTTCGTCCCATGGTGTAATCCATGAAAACTGTGGGAAAATTACAATGCAAGACTCCCACGAATTTCTAAGTCAATGGGGTTGCAACCGGATCCCCCCACCCCCTACCCGGAAGCAATTGACATGGAAAATGAAAGAAATTATCAGGTAAGGAAATGTCAGGGAAAGGGATAAAGTGCTATTTGAATGCATCCTAAAAACACAAACTGCTGCAATCTGTTGCAACAGGGCATCCACCTCTTGCCCATAATCAGTATTCTGTCATTCTCAGCTGTGCTGTTTCAGGCCGCTTTCTTCTCACAAGAGTTCCCCCCCCCAAAGGTCCATTTCAAAAGCCCCGCCTCTCCACCCCTTGCCTCTGGAGGGAAGCAGAGGTCTCTATGTTGCTTTGAGCCTAACCCAACTGCCGGGGGCTGCTTATGCTGCTGTCAACAGAAGGGCTCTCCATATTGCAGGACTTCCTGCATTGCAGCAGCCTGCTGCTCTTCGGCTCCTTCTCATCAAACTTCCTGCATTGCAGCCCTAGCGTGGATTACCCTGGGAAGGGAGAGCATGGAAGAAGAAGGTACAGGGGGAGGGTGGGGGAAGACAGAGACTCACCCAAAGCTGGGGCTACACACAGCCACTGCTCACATGCTGCAGCTCCTTACGTGCAGGAATGCAAAATCAAATCCCATTTCTTACCAGATGTTTGCTGACCTAAACATCTCTCTCTCTCGCTTTCTCTGTATCCTGTACTGCCTGCCAAGCCGTTATTCCAGAGCGAAGGGAGGCAGCCTCTCCAATGCTAAGCTAATTTACAGCACTAAGCCTTTCTGATGCAAGCGTGGGCTGCCCTTGTGACACTTCTCAGACCATCGGTTGCTCCCTAACAACCAAGCTCTTCTGCTTTATTTAAAATTTTCAAACATTAATTTCCTTCCCTGCTTATTTCCCCTCCACCTCCAAACCCTCCCGTCAGCCTATTCTTCCAGCTGCTGACTTGGCTCCAAGCTTGCTCCATCTGGAAGGGCAGGAAAGAGGGTTAGTTCCTTAGAGGAAGTTTGCTCTTGTTCTTTTCTTTTTTAACAAAAATAATATGACACTTCAAGGACGCCCTATTTCTCCCTGGATCATTTCCTCACGTGCTGCCACTCTGCAAGAATCATGATAGAAGAGCAATATCATTTAGATCAGGCTTCTACAACTTGGTGCCCTCCAGGTGTTTTGGACTACAACTCCCATCAGCCCCTAGCAGGGGCTGATGGGAGTTGTAGTCCAAAACAACTAGAGGGCATCAAGTTGGAGATGGCTGATACAGAGGCAGGCGGAGGATTCTATGGAGTCACTTATCTCTGCATCAGTTTCTTCTCTGCAGATGACACATAACACATATCTATGTACTTTAGGTCTAATCAATTTAGGGAAGTTTTTAATGACTGATGTTTTAATGTACTTTTAATCTTTTGTTGGAATCACCCAGAGTGGCTGGGGAAACCCAGCCAGATGGGCGAGGTATTAATAATTAATAATAATAATAATAATAATAATAATAATAATAATAATAATAAAGTCCAGAATTTATGCCTGGCCCATTTATCCACAAGGATGGGTCTGACTCATTTTAACCACCTTTGTCAAAGGAAATCCATCATAGGTCTTGAAGCAACATGTCTTATCTTCT